TGCCTTAATCTTGTCCATTGGTTTCTCATCTAACGACCCAAAACAGTGGGGTGCATTGGGTGCACGGAATCTCCCGTTTCAAACAATTCAAAAAAAACACTCCATGGCCTCGTCATTCTTGCTAATCACGCGAAGAAAAATCTAACTAGTGATATCATGTCATGAAGTGCTACCATGCCACGTCTCGTACCCTTTAGGGTTTCCTATCTCTGAGGCAATCGCTTCGGAGACCGCGGCGGAGACACCACATACTCTCCCAGGGCAGATCGGATCCTTACTCCGGCTGATCCCGCGGAGGGTTCCCGTTAATAGGACTGGTGAAGGGTCACGGAACCAGCAAACCCAGCGTTTTCTGGCGGCGATGGTGAGTGAGACATCCGCAACATCAGCGCTGGATGGAGATGGGAGGGTGGATCGAAGGAAGGGAAGTGCGGGAGGGAAGAAGGGGCTAGCGGCCGAGCTTAGGGAGGGAGATAGTGGGGGAACGAACGGTGGTGGAGGGAGCGAGCCCAAGGAGATCGATCTGGATGACAAGTTTCAGCATCTGAATCTGAGAGCTGAGGAAGAGGAGGATGTGGTTCTGGAGGAGGATCTGGAAGAGTTGGAAAAGGACGCTGAATTCATGGCCCTTGCTAGGGTTCATACTACGCGCAAGTTCAGCCATGGCGTGTTCTATGGGACTATGCGATCTGCATGGAACCTAGCACAAGAAGTTGAGTTTAGGGCAATTGAGGACAACCTGTCTTCAGTGCAGATGTCATGCCTTGCAGATTGGGAACGAGTAATGAAGGATGGACCATGGATCTTTAGAAACTGTCCGGTTCTGATGGCGAGCTATGATGGATGGTCTGAACCCAAGGATACTGAATTATATACTTATCAAGCGTGGGTTCGTGTCATGGGACTGAAAGAGAAAATGCGTTCAACAAGTATTGCCTCACAATTGGCAAGGAAAGCAGGTGTTGTTGAACGGGTGGATGAGTGATCTGTGAAAGGACAGGGTGGGGGCATACGGGTCAGGGTGACGCTTGATGTACGTTTTCCGCTGATGAGATGCGCGAGCTTAACTCTGAGGATGAAGAAGTTCTATTTTGATTTTGTATATGAGAAGATGCCGTGTTTCTGCGGTGTTTGTGGCCTTGTCGGTCATGTGGCCAAGGAGCATGGGAAAGGAGTACATGATGATAGTGCAATTATCTATCTCCCCTCGCTGATAGTGGCAGAATTTAGAAAGGAGGAGCAATGGCAGAGTTATGGAGGTGAAGGAAGTAGAGTGGGTCGTGGTGGTAGAGGCAGAGGAATGGGTGGAGGTGGGCGTGGGGAGTTTGGGACAAGAACCGAGGATAGCAATGATGATGATCTAAAAAGCACTGCATCGAGCCCTACTAAGAGTAATGCTAATGGGGCAAACTCGACTGGCAGCACCAAGAGAAAGCTGGAGTTTGCAACAAATGGTACGGGCCAGGGGCAACAGCTTCTGTTAACTAGTGGTATGGGAGAGGATGTACAAAACCAAGTGAAACTTGATGGGAAGAGTTTGGACGCGGAGGGTGAGGACAATGATTCTTCAGGAAGCAAGCGACACAAGGTGGACGAAACACAAACTATGGACTTGGCAACATTGGCGGCCTCCAACAAGGAGGACCGCCAGGCCTAATGTGTACCTTAGCTTGGAACTGCCGGGGTGGGGGGAACCGCCGGACAGTTCGAGAATTACTGACGTTGTGTCAGTCACATAACCCCAGCCTTGTTTTCCTTTGTGAAACTAGGCAAACGGAGGAGAAAATGGAGAAATTGAGATGGAGATTGGGACTGAAAGGTTTTGAAGGAGTAGGAAGTGATTGGAGAAGTGGGGGTCTAGCTCTCTACTGGCATGAAAACATTCATGTAGAGATCCTAGGCAAGAGCAACAGATACATTGATGTATGTATTCGAGAACAACAGAATGATCCGCCTTGGTGAATTACCTTTGTGTACGGGGAACCACGGGTCGAGAACCGCCACCTGATGTGGACTCAGCTAGCTACTCTTAAGGCTAGCTCTACATTGCCATGGGTGGTCATTGGAGATTATAATGAGGCTTTGTGGCAGTATGAACACTGTTCGATGAGGGATAGGCCGGAGCCACAAATGGCGGCCTTTAGGGATGCTCTGGCAGTGTGTGAGCGGCAGGATATTGGTTTCACGGGCTTCCCATACACTTTTGACAATCATCAGCAGGGGAACCAAACGTCCGTGTTAGGCTGGATCGGGCTTGTGCAGATGATGAATGGATAGCGAGGTTTCCAAATGCAGAACTACGACACCTTACATCATCAAGATTGGACCACTGTCCATTGTTGTTACAGTTACAACAGCCTGACCCACGGCCGAGAAGTCGAGTTAGAAGGTATGAGATAATGTGGGAAAGAGAAACGGCTCTACCAGAGATCATCCGTAATTCTTGGGAGAACGTAAAGGAAGGGGGTGATTTGGGTGTGGTGGCAAAGTCCCTTGGGCAAGTGATTGCTGACCTGCACGAGTGGAGTAAGCAAAAGTTTGGACACGTCAGGCGTGAACTGGAGAAGCTGAGAGAGGAACTAGCGGAGCTAAATCATATGGAAGCCGATAGGACAACGATCAAGCAGAAGATGGAAAGGACGGATGAGCTGCTGTATCATGAAGAAATGATGTGGCTTCAAAGATCTCGAGTTGATTGGCTCAGAGAGGGAGATAGGAATACCCGATATTTTCAGAGAAGGGCTGTTTGGCGTGCAAGAAAGAATCTCATAAGAAAACTTAAGAGAGACGATGGGGTATGGTGCATGGAGCCTACTGATATGGAACGTATGGCTTCGTCATATTTCAAGGAGATTTATACCAAGGATCCGACCTTGGCGCCAGGGCCAATCCTGGACCTTTTAACTGGTCGAGTCACGGATGCAATGAATGAGATGCTAACTCAGGAATTTTCAGAGAAGGAAATTGGAGACTCTTTGTTTCAGATAGGCCCTTTAAAAGCACCGGGACCAGACGGTCTTCTGGCACAATTTTATCAAAGGAATTGGGCCACTATAAAAACTGAAATAGTTACAGTAGTACAAATTTTCTTCAGAGATGGGGTGATGCCCGATGGAGTAAATGAAACAAGTATAGTTCTAATTCCAAAGAATAGTGAACCTGAAAGTCTGAAGGATTTTAGGCCAATTTTGCTATGCAATGTGATATATAAAATAGTGTCAAAGTGTATGGTGAATAGGTTAAGGAATATACTCGATGAAATAATCTAGGAGAGTCAAAGTGCCTTCGTGCCTGGGTGTTTGATCTCGGATAATGCAATTGTGGCCTTTGAAGTGCTGCACTATATCCAGCAAGAACGTAACCCGGTGGTGAAAAATTGTGTTTATAAACTAGATCTCTCGAAGGCCTATGACCGGGTAGATTGGAACTTTTTGGAGAATGCAATGAGAAAGATTGGCTTCTTAGATATATGGATCCAGTGGGTAATGCAATGTGTGACTACGGTCCGGTTCAGAGTCAACCTCAATGGAAAGCTACTGGACCAATTTGAACCATCTCGAGGATTAAGGCAAGGTGATCCCTTGTCACCGTTTTTGTTTCTATTTGTTGCTAACTCGTTGTCGAGTTTGATACAGGATGCGGTCATGACCAAAGGGTTAAGGCCAGTGGTCATCTGCCGAACAACGCCATCAATATCACACCTTCTCTTCGCGGATGACACACTCCTTTTTTTTCAGTCATCCGAGGAGCAGGCGGTGATTGTAAAGAGCATTTTGGATAGTTATACTACAGGAACAGGACAGTTGATAAACCACTCAAAGTGCAGTATGATGTTTGCGGATGTGGGCCTGCAGAGCACTAGATGTAGCATCAAAACCCGCCTTGGATTGCTAATTGAACACTTTGAGGATCGTTACCTCGGCCTACCGGTCCCGGAGGGAAGAATGAATAGAGGAAAATTTCAATCCCTTCAGGCGAGTTTGAGCAGGAGATTCTTTGACTTTGGTGAGAAGCAAGCTTCAAGTGGGGCTAAGGAGACACTAATTAAGTCGATTGCGCAGGCGATTCCGACGTATATGATGAGTGTCTTCAGGTTACCAGCATCAACTTGTGATGAGCTGACTCAGATGATACAGAGCTACTAATGGGGCTCAGAGAAAGGGAAATGGAGGACACACTGGATTGCATGGGAAAAATTACTACGCCCAAAGAATCAAGGTGGCTTAGGTTTCCGTGATATGAGGTTGTTTAACCAAGCTCTATTAGCTCGTCAAGCGTGGCGATTACTTGATAGACCTGAGAGCCTATGTGCAAGCCTACTTAAGGCGAGATATTATAGACATGGCAATTTAATTGACACTGTTTTCACAGGCAATGCGTCCCGTGTTTGGAGAGGTATCGAGCATGGACTAGAGCTACTAAAGAAAGGCATGATATGGAGAATTGGCAATGGCCAAAAAGTCAGAGTTTGGAGGGATCCCTGGATACCTCGTGGGGGCTCCTGCAAAGTACTAGGAGAGCGTGGAACATGTAGGTACAGCCGGGTGGCTGATTTCATACTACCAGATGGATCGTGGAATGAAGAACGGCTGAACCAATACATGATACGAGCTGATATATAGGAGATTGTGAAGATCAAGATATCTCGTAGAGTGGAGGAGGATTTTCTTGCTTGGAACATGGAGAAGGATGGGAGGTTTATTGTCAGAAGTGCATACCACCTTGCGGTCACTGAGTTTGTTCAGAGCCAGGGTGGGATCTCGACGAGTATAAGACCCGATGGGGACCGGCCTGTTTGGAGAATGTTTTGGAAGATTCAAGTTCCACAAAAAGTGAAGATATGTGCTTGGAAATTGCTGAAGAAAGGACTACCCACACGCCAGGTAATGAAATCTAAACATATGGAGGTGGCGGAAGAATGTCCGAGATGTAGCCGGGAGACAGAGGACAATTTTCATGCTGTTGTAGCATGCCCAACCTCTAGTGCTGTATGGGATGCTATGGGGGAAATATGGAAGATACCAGCAAAGGAGACAATAGTGAACACAGGCGACGAGTGGCTATTTGATTTGTTAGTGACACTAGCGGAAGAGGACCGTGTGAAAGTTCTGATGATAATATGGAGGAACTGGCAGCTACGTAATGATGCCATGCATGATAAAACTGTGCCTTCGGTCGCGGTCACTAGTGGTTTTCTACAAAGCTACATGTTGTCTCTAGATCAGATCAAACATGATAAGGGCTACGATATGCTGAAGGGGAAAAGAGACTTGAATCCAGTGGGAGGAGGAGCTCAGCTACGGCAAGAAAAGAGATCACAGGAGCATGCACCGTGGCCGCCACCTCTGGAAGGCTGGATTGCTCTATCCCTTGATGGCTCTTTTGATGCGGAATCACATATGGCTGGAGCGGCCATGTTGGCGAGGAATAGCAGAGGAGAACACATTTTGTCGGCGTGCTGGTTTATACCACACTGCTCGAGTGCTTTCGAAGCAGAGTGTATGGCAGCCCGAGAAGGAGTCTCCCTGGCAGTCCAGCATTCAACATTGCCTATGGTGATTTAGACTGACTGTGCATCCTTGGTTAAGTGCTTGGAGTGTCCGGGGATGGATAGATCTATAGTAGGTCATCTTGTTAATGAGACCAAGGAGTTGATGAGAGAAAGAGAGCTTGTGTGTCAGCACATTGGTCGTCTGCAGAATAGGACTGCAGATCGCCTTGCTTATCTGTCAAGAGTGGAGCACCGCACCGAATTATGGTTGCAGGGGCCTCCTGATGCTCTTTTGTGCTATCTAGTAGGCGATTGTACAACTATTCCTTAATTAATAAAGCTCTCTTTCCAGTCGCAAAAAAGAAGAAGTGCTACCATGCCACCGGATGCTTTCATGCTCCCAAACACAGCCAAAAAGTTGTACATAATTTCCATGAAAAAATAGGAAAAAGCTCAGGATCAACCGGTGGATTTTCTCTCCCGCATCCACCGCCTCGCACAGGACGACGCGTGTCCCAGTCACAGCCACATCCACGCGTCTTATCCTTTCCTTTCTAGCACCATCTCCATCTCTCCATCTCTCCTTCCTCTCATATCTCATCAACGCCCATCACCGAGCCTCATATGCGCTGCCAGACTAGTCGTCGTTGTAAGGGAGCAAGTAGGTGGCGGAGCATCCAGGTTGCAAATCGGTGCAGGGCGAGGCTCCGACACGGAACCGCAGGCTTGCTCACCTCAACTCACTTTTCAGGCGAGGCACGACTCGTCGGCGTGCTTCTGCAGCAGCAGGAGCGGCGGCGCTGCTGCTCTGTTGCGGTCGGCGGCGACGTGCTTTGACGCATGCAACATGGTAGTTATTTCTGCAATGGAGCCGTTGTTTCAGGAATTGTTTTTGCAACCCAGCCGTTGTTTCAGGAATTGTTCCTGCAATCTCCAAATTTTTGCAACATGGTAGTTGTTTCTGCAACACAATCGTTGTTTCGGGAATTGTTTTCTGCAACGCGATCGTTGTTTCAGGAATTGTTTCTGCAACGAGACCGTTGTTTCTGCAACTGGTTTGTTGTTTCGGGAATTAATGTGTCGGGAAGGCGACGCGCGTGTGCGAGGAGTTAGATCGAACGGCTCACGCACGGAGATCTGACGGCTGTCAAGGTGGTGGATGTTTACTAGACATCCACCGGCGGACGCGTAGTGGCTCCCAAAAAATAAGTGATTTGGTAAAAGTTACACGAAGTATGTATGATGGCATAATTTCAGCTCCAAACTTCATAGCAAAGATAAAAATTCATGTAATAATAATAGCAGAAAATACTACTTATAATTGAATTTCAATTTGCTATTATTTAGTATGAATGAATTTAAATTTTGCATCAATACAAATCAAACTTTTCACGCTCAACACCACATAGTTGAACAACATTCCAAACAATAAGTTTGAATTTAAATAAATAAAAAGGGCATGAATGCAACACATAATCAAAATGAATATTATCTTTTTAAGAAAAAAACCATGTAGTTGCCACTAATGCTCGATGCGATCTCTGCAAAACTCCTCACGAAATGTAAACAATGTTTTCTGCAATGGAGAGGTTTGATTCTTCGTGAACAAAGAATGTGCCTTATGCAACAATAATGTGATGTTACCCATTATATCTTGTGTTCGCTAGGCGAGACACCCTTAAATAGCCAAACTGCTCCTGTCGTGATTGTATGATCTATTGTCCTACCTCTCGGTACCATCAAGAGTGACCGGCTCAGTAATTAAGGTTGTTATCCCAGACCAATGCTTTAGGCATTGTGGCTTCTCATGCTCCTCATATTGTCTTTGTTCCTCGTTGAATCAAGCACCTGTATTTGGAGGTCGCGGATTTGTTGGACAATAAGTGCTTACCCATGTAGGTATTTGATAATACCTGACCCTTGATTTGGACAAAAAGCATTACACGTGCCATGGATAATCAACCTAATAACTAATCATCAAAGTAATCTCACAAAATATCATCATAAGGATTAGGCACAAATGAATCTCACAAATCCCTACATCTCCCACACCTAGGAGAATAACTTGCACATGAGAGAAGGCTAACAACCAAACACAAAGATCAAATGAAGGTGGTCATATTGATAATACCGTAGTTTGCCACGATAAAATGAAGGATAAAACATATCGTGATCTCTATATTTAGGTACAAATAGAGTTTACAAACCCTAGCTTTACAAGTTGGACTCTCGATCTAAAGTCGATGTTGTGGATGGTGGAATGTAGGATCATGCTCCAGATCTCTCTTCCTCTGCTCTGGTTGTTGGTTATGTCTCTCATGTTGCTATGTTGCATCTCACCTAGTTATAAAACTTGCTTGTGTAGATGAGGGGAAGGTGACGGAGCCTGGTACGAGTTGTTGCACTTGTATCACGCATCATCTTCTCTTCTATTGATGCCAAATGCTCCCTCCATACGGAAAGTGGTCCATTTCCTCATCAATCACCTAAATATGGCTTCAAATACTTCAAAACATGTTTGCACTTTAAAATCAAGCAATGATACGGGGTTTCTCTATTTTGATGGATATCGGTTAGTAAAAAGGCAAAAACCGGTGAAACCAATGATAAAACCAAAAAAATAACTTAGAAAAACCCATATATGAAATGGAGCCATCACCCGATGAATGTGACATGTTTTAGTGTTGATGACATAGTGGGAATAACGTTCTCCTCAGCATCCCTAGACATCCTCTAGCTTGACCATCAAACTGCTCACTCCATTTACATTCTTCACCATGAAACTGCTCACTCCATTTACATTCGCTTGGAAAAATTGCACCAATATCTAAGGATTCCAATAGAAACAGCCCTAGATCTACACTTCCACCAAATCAAATTGTGACCATTGCTACTTGTGAGTTGTGTTGGGATTTTCCCCGAAGAGGAGGGGTGTTACCAACAGGTATTGGGGGCAGCACTATAGCTGCAAGCCCAGACCTGTAACACATTCCGTAACCACAATACCAACAGGTGGACCTTAGGAAGGCACATGGCTAATCCTTGGCGGCCAAGAAATCCAAGTTTATCCCTAGGAAATATATTTATATTAGGAAGTTGTCTATACTTTCCAAACGGTTAGGATCTGGTTTGTTTTTCGAGTTTTGTGATCTCTTTGAACTATATAAAGACATGATAGTTTGTATTAGGATTATCAATCAAGAAATAGAGAAAATTGCCCCAAATTGAGAGTTTAGAGCCTCTAGCGCCACGGCAGGGAACAAGCCCCTATGCGCGCCTAAGGGCGAACATCGCTATCCCCTCCGACCAGATCCCAAATCCCACCTCCATTTCCACGCACGTAGCATCTTGGTATTAGAGAGGACCTTCCTCGTCCACCCACCACCAACAGCCACCATGGGCGAACCCATCACCATCGAAAACCTAGAATGAACATTATCCAAAAAAAATCCCATTTTCTGCCTAACCTCAAAGCACTACCCGAGCTGCGGTCTGATGTCGCAACATTGAAGGAACAACTAGCGGCTTCTAGGGTGTCCATTGACCTTCTAGAGAAGGGAGGATCCAACAAGGCACATAGCAAAGATGAAGATGAGATTGACAACATAGTTTTCGCTGCTACTGCACTAGCTGCACTGTTCGCCTACAAGGAGGAACGATGTGCTTCTCCAAAGTTCCACAAGCTGGAATTCCCTACCTATAACGGGGAGGGCGACCCGTTGCCTTGGTTGAACCATGTTGAGCGCTTCTTCAAGGGCCACCAGACAGAGGACAATGAAAAGGTGTGAATAGCCTCCTATCACCTAACCGATGATGCTAGACTATAGTACAGTCGGCTGGAGATGATGCATAGTGAACCACCATGGCCAAAGTTTGTCAAATACCTACACTGCAGTTTCGAGCCGATGATGAGGACTAGTCGGTTGGTGGAAATTAAACACTTGAAACAAACAGGCTCGGTACGCAACTACAAGAAGCAATCCCTCCCTCCTATTTGCAGGTGCGAGTCTCTCTCAAAAGAGCAACAGGTCGAGTTGTTCATTGTTGGGCTACGCAAGACCATCTGTGCTGATGTGGACTTACAATACCCATCGAACCTTGAGGCTGCCATGAGCTTAGCACTCTCCTATAAGCAGCGTTGTCTTACATATGATGAGGACACAACCACACCACTCCCAGGCATGATGTTGTCGTCCAAAGCAACCAAGACAACAACAACGGTGGTCGTTTACCTACCCAAACAGCCTATTGTTGTCCTAGTCGGACAGCCCCTCCTTGCTAGGCAATTCAAGAAACTTACCCCAACAGAGATGGCCGACTGGCGCACTAAAGAGTTGTGCTTTAACTGTGATGAGAAGTACGCTCGTGGCCACCATTGTGCCCGGCTTTTTTGGATCGAGGTGCCTGATGGGGAAGATAATGACGACATTAATGCTGACACGGTTGAGAAAGTGTTCGCCCTGGCAGCATTTGACACTACTGCGATAGGTCCAGGAGCATCAACTAATGACACACCAACCATCTTGGTGCGTGCACTTATGGGTATATGCACTGGCAAGACCATGCAGCTACATGTTGAAGTTGCTGGAGGCCGTCTCAAGGCTCTGGTGGACTCTGGATCCACACACAATTTTCTAGCTAAGGAGGCAGCCAGCCGCATCAGAATTTCCCTTGAACAACACCTTGGGATTCAAGTAACCGTGGCTAATGGGGACGAAGTTTTGAGTGCTGGATGTGTGCAGGGCCTCTCACTGGATGCCCTCGGCGAGCTGTTTGTCATTGACTGTCATGCCATTACCTTGGATCATTTTGACTTGGTACTTGGCGTCCAATGGTTGCGCACACTAGGGCCCATACTTTGGGACTTTGGGCACTTAACGATGTCATTTTGGAAGAAAGATCACCAGGTCATTTGGCACAACATCAACATGTCTAAAGGGACACTGCAGGTCCATGCATGTGCCACCGATGACCACATAGCCATACTTCTGGAAGGGTTCAAGGCTCTATTTGATAAACCATGTGGCTTACCACCGGTGCACATGTGCGACCACCACATTCGGCTCCTGCCAG